AGAGGAGAGACAGAGACAGAGTCAGGGACAGTGGCAGACAGAGACAAAGGGAGGCACAAAGCAAGACAGAGACAGAGACAGAGATGAACAGATCTGCTTTTTTGTTCTATTTCTCAGTATTCACCTTGTCCTCTCCCTTGGATTAGGAGAATAAAATTGTAAATGTCTTCTAACCATACCTAGGTTAGCTCAATTCCACCTTGGTAGCCCCCAAGGAAGGATAGAATCTCTCTCATCATTTTCCATCAAGTCCCAGGCCCCATCCTTCCCTCTTTGTGGTTGAACAGCGATTGGCCAGGCCTGACCCTTATGATCAGTTGGACTTTGGGTACACTGTAATGGGCACCACGTGGCACTCAGACAGGGTTTAACCAGAAACACCTCTTCTTTTTGCCAAGCAAACTATGTGGCTTGCTCGCTTCTTTCCCAATATCATCTTTTTACCATTTCAGAGATGCCCAGACCCATTGAGGACACTTGTAAACGCAAGGAAAGAAAACTTAAATGGTTACTCCAGGGTGTGGGGGGAGATGAGGCCCCGTTTCTGTAGCTGTTGGGGGAGGCCCTGATCATGAACCGGGGCTGCTGTTGTGACTGTCCACTCCCCTGTGGTAGCTGTTTACTGGTTGGCCGATCCCTAATGCAGTTTGAGTCACTGCACTTCCGAAAGGCTTATTACTAACAACATAGATGAATCACCGCCTCTCTCTTCTTCTGCCTTTTTTAATTAACTGAGAAGGGGTGGCCAGCTGAGTGGAGGAAGCAGCAGAACTGGTTTTACCTTCCCATCCTGTGTTTGAGAAGGGAGTCCATTTCCAGTCACTTGAGGCCTCTATGAACATAATGGCCTTCTTCCTTGGCAACGTAAGTGCAAAGTCTCTAAGAAAATATTATTAAAATGAATCCAATAACCCAGAGCCTATGAGACCCAACTTAGAAGTAGATATTCAAGGAATTCAGGACTTATTTAATATACAGTACACCTATTAATAGAAAAATAGAACAAAATATACAACCATCTCAAGAAAAAGCTAAGGATTCAACAAAAATAATCATAATAGCGGGGCACTGGTGGCTCACGCCTGTAATCCTAGCTATTCAGGTGGCTGAGATCTGAGGATTGCGGTTCAAAGCCAGCCCAGGCAGAAAGGCCATGATACTCTTATCTCCAATAAACCACCAGAAAACCAGAAGTGGCACTATGGCTCAAGTGGTAGAGCACTCACCTTGAGCTGAAGAGGTGAGGGACAGAGCCCAGGTCCAGAGTTCAAGCCCCATGACCAACAACAACTACAAATAATAATAATAACAATAATAATAACTCAACAAACTAGGAATAGAAAAGAATTACTTATATTTACTGTGATAAACAATATCTAGGGTACAGGTTTTTTTTTCCATCTCAGAAATCTACGAAAAATGTAATTCAACTAATAAATGAGTTTAGCAAGCGAAAAATAAAATCAATATAAAAACTCAGTCATACTTCTATAGGCTAATAATGAGTAGTCAGAGGTAAAACTAAGAAAATAATTCCATCCATGGAAGCATGAAAAGCGACTCAAAATAAATTCAGTAATAAATTTCAGTATACTGAAAATTATGTAATATTGTTGCAAAAAATGAAATTTCTAAATAATTGGAGAGACATTTCCCAAGTGTGGGCTAAAGGACAAAACTGACAAAATTGTATATAAATTTAATGCAGTTCATAACAAAATACTGACAGGCTTCAAACAGAAATTGACAAATTTATTCTAAATTCCATATGGAAATGTAGAGGGTTCCAGCATGGTTAATGCATGCCTGTAATTCCAGCACTCAGGAAGTTCAGATCAGAGGATCATGAGCTGGAGGCCAGCCATAGAGTTAAGATTAAAAAAGAAGAGAGAGAGGGAGAGGGGAGAGAAGGAGGGGGGAGGGGAGGCAGAGGGCCTGTTGTAATCAAAACAATTTTGAAAAGGAACATAGTACACTCACTGACTTGAAAACTTGTTATAAAGCTGTAGTAGTCAAGAAAGCATTATCTTTAGAACAGCAATATCAAACCAGGGAATTGGCTGAGAGCTCAGAAATATAACCTTAAATTTAAAATCAATTGATTTTCATAAAAATGCCAAGACAAAATGGCAGTCTCAAAACATAACAATGCTGTAACAATTACATGTATATATGCAAATATTAAAAATGAATTTAGACACTTACCTCACCCCTACCCCACCACACACATATACATAAACAATAAATAACCCATGGACTATTGACCTACTAGAATAAAGCAGAAAGAAAGCTAGTCAGTCATGGATTAGGAGCAAGGCTTAGTTTCAACACCAAATGTGTGATCCTTAAACAGTTACATTGATAAGCAAGATCTGATTATGCTCCAAAAAGTCCCATAACACTGTAGTGACAAACTATTTTACAGTCACTAAGATAGCTAAAAAATGAAATAAAATAAAGAAGACTATAAATATTGGCAAAGATGTAGAGAAATTAAGTCCATTCTGTTTTGCTGTGATACTGAATAAATGGAACTGCTTCTTTAGAAAACAATTTGGCAGTTCCTACAAATCTCATACATTTATCCAATACTAATCATAAGGAAGGATAAAATTCTAAGTCAGGCTATAATTTAGATAAACCTTAAAACTATTATGTGAAACAAAAAATCAAGTTCCAAAAGATGAAATATATGATGTCAATTTAAGACTGATAATAAAATGGTATTTTCATGAGTTGGAAAAGAAAGAAGTTAATGGGTATGGAGTTGATTTTTCAGAGTGTTATGAATGTTCTAAAATCAGTTATGAACATGTTTACACAACTCTGCAACTATACTAAAATCACTGAATCATACACATTGTGGAAATTTGATTATACATACATACATTGAAAAAAACTAGAAAGTTGTAGTCATATATTTGAAAAGGACAAGTATACAAAATATATGAAGAGAAATTTCAAGTTAATAATTAAACAAGACAACTCAATTGAAAAATGAGCAAATGGTTTGAAAATACATTTCACAAATGGAGTCCTACAAATAACCCATGTGAACATGAAAAACTGCCTAAACTTAATTACTCATCAGAGAAATGCAAATCAAAACCACTCCTTCGTACACACTAGAATGACTATAAATACATGTGAAGATGCAATATTCATGTTTTCTGTAAAGATCGGACAATTTCCACTTTGCTTGCAGCAATGTGAAATGAAACAAGCACAAGCTAAACAACTTGCCATATAACCTAGCCATTCTACTCCTAGGAATGTACCAAGCACATTATCCAAGTGTGCACAGCAGCATTATTCATAACAGCCAAAAAGTGGAACCAATCTTCTGATGAATGGATAAAGAAAACTGTTGTTTCTATGAAATGGAATACTGTTCAGCAATAAAAAGGAATTAAGAATCAATGCATACCACAAAAGGATGAACTTCAAAAACATTATATTAAGTGAAAGAAGGCAGTCACAAAATACTATGCATTTTGTAGTATTCCATTCATATGAGATGCAGAAAAGGAAAACTCATAAAGACAGAAAAACATCTGGTTGCTTAAGAGTGGAGATGATGACAGGCTTGAAGAAACTTCTTAGGGCAGTGCACATAATCTACAACTGGAGTATGGTGATCAATGGACAGCCTCCAGAGATTTACCAAAACTCAATGAATTGCAAGTTACAATGAATGCATGGATGTCATGGTTGGTAAATTATAGCTTAAAAAACTTTAAAACTAATTCTGTCTACTCAGAAGGCTGAGATCTGAGGATTAGAATTCAAAGCCAGCCTAAGCAAAAAAGTCTATGAGCCTTTTATCTCTAATAAGCTACTCAGAAAAAGGCAGTAGAGCTGTGTCTCACATGGTAGAATGCTAGCGTTAAGCACAAAGAGGCTCGGGGACAGTGTGTAGGCCAGGACCAGAAAAAAAAAACTGATTAGAAAGTTCACAATCAAGAACACTAGCAATTGACTCTGAGATTTTTCTAAAACATCATTTTACATAAACATAGCAGGAAACATAAATGTGAATAAAGAAAGAAAACAGTTATTCTTCTAAAATTTGTTCTAAACATTTACTTTCCAAAGAGTAAAAAAGTAGGAATTTTGATCACCTACATTTATCTTCTCAATAATCAAAGATATTTCTAAAATCAAAATGTTTAGGATAGGATAGTTAGGCTGTTAAGTGAACCAGTGGCTCACTCCTATAATCCTAGCTACTTAGGAAGCTGAGACAGGGAGAATTACTGTCCAAAGCCATCTGGGGAAGAAATGTCTACTAAACTCTATCTCCTTTCAGCCAGCAAAAACACGATCTGGAGACATGGCTCAAGTGGCAGACTGAGAACTCAAAAGCCCTGAGTTAAAATCCCAGTAATTACCCAGAGAGACACAAAGATAAGTTTCTAAAGCACTTAGAATGGGAGATTAAGAAAACTCTGAAAGAGTGAACAAATGCAGCAGTGCTACCCACTAGACACTATGTTTAACATGCACTATACAACTTGTGGGTGGGGTGGGAGAGAGAGGAAAGGGGTGACATTGTCCAAAAAGAAATGTACGCATTACCTGACTTTGTAACTGTTACCCCTCTGTACACCACCTTTATAATAACAATTTAATTTTTAAAAAAAGAAAGAAAGAAAATTCTATCTGGCTTCTTGAATCTTATTTTGTAGTTTGCTAATATTTCTAAATTACCTTTCCTAGGCCCAGATTATCAAAATATCCTCTGGAAAAGAAAAAAGAAACATGCAAATGGAGTATGAGGTCAAAACATTGGAACCAAAAGGAGTGTTCAGAATCCCAAGGAATGCATTCCCCCCAGAGGGGCCTTGCTCCCCAGAGGACACACAAAACGTATGCAACCCTGCTTTGTTTTCAAAGGAAGGGACAAGATCACTAATCAATAAACCTGGCTACAGCCCTTCCATCACAGATTTAATCCTAAAGCCGAAGGCAAGATGTAGGACAAAATTCAGAGGCACTCCTCAAGGAGAAGAAAACCTTCCAAAGAAGAGGACGCTGTCGGATTTGGCGTGCTTGATGAAGAACAGGAAGGGATGGTTGCAGTGGACATGTTCCTGGCTGGGGGCCGAGAATAGGGCGAAGTCCACACCCGTGGCGGCTGCCGCCTGTGCGCCATCCTCACTCAGCAGCAGCTCAGACCTGTGCAGCAGGTGCTGCGCGCGGATCCCGGAGCGCACGGACATCCCCGAGTAGTCGGCGTGCTCGCTGAAGGCTGCGCACATCCCCAGCGCGCGCAGCGCCGGCTCCAGGTCATAGGCATCGGTCACCTCCACCCGGGGCAGGCGGAGGTCCACCATCCTCTCCTCCATGCGCCCAGGGCTGGTCCACTCCACCACCTTCTCAGGATTCAGTTTGTCTATGATCTGTTTACGACAGGGTTGGAAGCCAGATCAGCGCGGTTATCAGTTAAACATTTCAGAAAGGCTAACCCCGATTTGTATCCATGAGAAAGGATGTGTCTCCGACATGCACTCCACCATGTGACTCTGTATGTAGAAGGCTAAATTGTCTTAACGTTTCTCCATTTCATGATTCCATCTCTCTATCTGTGCAGTCATGAAAACCCGCTACATTTTTAAAGATTGAAAACTGTCATTTGGGTTTTGGTAAAGTTTGGGTTTCTGATTTTATTTGTGACACAGGTCTCATTGTGTGGCTGCCCAGGCTGGCTCTGAACTTGCAACTTTTCTGCTTCAGCCTCCTGAGTGCTGGGACTATGGACATGCATCACCATACTACCTTTAAAATGTCATTTCTTATCTTATTATCCACCTCTAGTATTTGTGATTGTGTGTGTGTGTGTGTATATGAATACAAAGTGAATCATATATGTGAAGATACTGATATACATACTGTATATTAATATGTGTTACATGAATGCATGTAATAGATGTACAGCTGTTATGAGTGCACATGTGTTCCATGTGGTATACATGTATAAATGTATGTATATCCATACACATGGTCATATGTAATATAACACATGCACTTGATATAGTATGTATTTATATATAATTGCAGCCACCAGGAACACCCTTTTATAAAATTCAGTTTTCCACATTATTGCATATCTCCCCCAAATGTCTCCAAACTGCTTTTGTTAACATTCCTTCTACCAGTTGATAAATTCTGGCCAACATTCATCAATCCATTCACTTTTCAAATATGTAGCATGTATCAGGCATTGTGGGGAATTCTGATAGATCGAGAAGACACAAAAGCAGCACTTTGGAAATTTCAAACTGGGTATCCTAATGTATTTGATGTTGAAATTACTGATTTTGACTCAGAGGCAATTTTTATCTTTGAATTACTTCCTAAGAGTAATTACTACACTTGAATCTTTTGACTTAAGAGTATAAATACTCTTAAACCTCTCATATATATTGCCACTTGTTCTGAAGATTTCTCCAATTTATAATGCCACTAGAGAAGCTTCCCAGCCAAGGGCTATAATGTGTGGAGTGCATTCTATGTTCTGTGCACATTCCAGGCTATGTTTTGCTAACCACACAACACAACCCATAGAGCACCATGGAGCCCAATTAACAGATGGGAAAATACTAAGATTTAAGGAAGTTAAGAGGTTTCATGATAAAGAATTTAAAAGAACAAGAATTTGAACCAAACTCTTCCTGACTTCCAGAATACAAAATGTAAAATTATAAAGTGGGTGGGTCTAAGTCAATGAATTTTATACTAAGGGTCCAAGGAAAAAAGTCAAAGCTCCAAGGGCCTGCTGAATAGCAGCAAAATTGGCTCTATCGGTGCTTCTATAATAGTTTCCCAGGAAAGGAGAGTCTATACGTACTAACCACATTCTTCGAATGTGAGAGAATCTTCGGAACTCCCACATTAACCTTCAATGTTCACTTCAGCTAAGTGGTTCATCTTAATCAAGTTACTACTGATCAATATTCCTCATTAGATATGCATCTATGGCTGCAGGATGAGGTACACTTTCTACGTGATATGCTGGGCACCAGTATCCACTCAGACGTCATGAGCAGGCTCACTCAGTGGCTTTCCTGAAAAGCCTTGGAAATGATGAGAAGTCTAAGGAAATAGACCAGGAGGTGTTTTGTTTACCTTCTCCAGACCATCTATGTCATTGGGCAGAAACACGAACAGGCTGAGGTCATTGTTCTTGTATGGAATCCCCACAATTTTGGCCTGCAGGTCCTCCAGGGAGGCGAAACTGAGTTTTTGTCTCTGTGCCATCATCTGCACAGGTTTACTTGTGCTCTGTAACAAACCAACAGAGCATCCGATGTCAAAGACGTAAGAGTGAGAGCACAGCTACCAAGCTGCTCACTGAAAGGACCAGTTTGACCTAAAATACTGCTCAGGATTAGAGTCACAGAATGAACACTTGCTGTCTAACAGCATATCTTTGCTCAGATAAGACTTACGTTCCACATAAGCACACTGAATAAATGAAGCCTCATACCTTAGTCACCCAAAATTCTTCCTCTTTGGTATTTTCTTTCTTAAACTCCCTGTCCCACTGCCCTTTAAAATACACAGTGTTTATCAACACCAGCTTGGTTGAGCTGTTAAGGGAGCCTTCTGGAAAGAGGTCACTGATTTTTTCTGCAAACAAACAGAAAAGTCTGTTAATGTGCAGCAGAAACAAAGCAGACAGACTGGACTGATATTAACCTACAGGCCTTTCCAACAAAGGGTTCACTTGAAGAGAGGGTGTAGAGATCTCACTCTCCCATTATCTCTTCATTCCTAGGGGATACACTGGGTTAGTGGCTGCCTGTCCAGGCTCTGAGTTCACGTTGCCTCATGAGAATGCAGAGAAATGTGCAGAGAAACCCTAGGCAAGTTATGAAGCTCTCTGAGCTTAATGTCAGCATCAAATCTCCATCGTAGGGTCATTGAAGGAGGGAATGATTTAATAGATACAAAACCTCAAAACTCTACCCAGCACACCACCAGTACCCATTGTTAATTATTATACAAACCTACATGATGTAGGCCCTACCTGAGATTCAGATGCTACTGATTGTATTGCATAAGGACTTGATATTTTAGGCTCTGGGTTTTGGTTCCTCCCACACTAAACTCTAGATCATACTGTTCCGACTACCTCTGGATAGACTCTTATTTTCTGTATTTTCTCTATTTAGATGAAGCAAGATGAGACATGCACTCTGTAATCATCGTGAGCTTCTTAATAACTGAAATAAAAAGGCAACTGAGCACTCCAAATAGTGCCTTTTATTGCACATCAAAGTATATATCTATATTAACATTACTCAAAGTATATATCTATATTAACATTACTCTCCAGGATTTTATGTTTGGCTCATACTAAGGGATAAGAGAAAAAGGCAGGGTGAGAGATACACCAAATTCTCTGCTGGATGGTCTGAAAATTATACCTGCCCTGCATGATGCTCAAATGGAGACAAGACCAGGTAACCTCAGCCACAGGTAGCAAAGATAAGTTTGGATGGTCTTTGAAGGATCTGTTTCTCACTTATCAAAAAGACATGAAATTCTCTATAATGATGATTAAGGCACTCAGACGCATGGGGAAAGAAAAGGAAAAAAGAAACAAAACCACACCTCCGATTAAGAAAAGATCATAAGCCTAAGGCAAGCATGGTCGCATTTTCAGGAGTCCTAAAGGCACGTGTCTTACGGTCATGCACAAATAATTCTCCATTGCTCCCCCGTGGCTGCTTCCCCTTGAGTCTCTCCACATTGGCAGTGTCCTCCCCCTCCCCTCTGCCCACCTTTTCCTTTTCAGCTCTGCAGAATTCATCTCCAGTCCCCTCCCCACACGTCTCCCTGGTGCCCTGCAAGCCCACGGATCTCACTCAAAGCCAGTGGGCAAGAAGTGTTTTCTGGTAGTTGGTTTGTTTTTGTTTTTGTTTTTTAATGGTGAAGAAACTATCCATACTCTACCATTTGTTTGGCTTGCAACCCAGGAATTAATCTTCTTTCGACATTCATCTGGTGCGTTTACAAAATCAACAGGTTCCAGGGATGCATGGTAATATTTTTTAACATAATCTAAGTATTTCTATAGGAGAAATAGGGAAGAAATAGAAAGAAGTTGAAAGTCAATTTACCAATTGTCAACATCTCCAAATAAATGTCTCTGCTTGTTAGGACAACTAACACAAGAACAAATGTTCAAAACCTTAGGATGATGATTTAGATCACCCCTCTGCACATTTTTATATAAATGTAAAGAGACTGAGGCAAAATAGACCAGGTACAAAATTCCCAGCACTCAAAAGCAGCCAAATGTCTGGACAGCAGACCATAGAGACCACCATGATTTAAATGGATCCAGGCAGACAACCTAGGCAGATTGTCCCCAGGATCTCGGGTGCTAACAGTGACATTTGACCATTTGTGGCTACCAGTCAAGGTGCTATAAACACAGTCACTTACTTGAAGGAAGAGGTAGGTTTGTTCTCCAAACAGCCTGTTGCTTATGTTCAGTTCATAATCATTCGTGAGTTTCCTCATTTCAGTCAAAAGCTTTTGGAATTGTTGGTGTATCTCTTCTGTCTTCTCAGTCTTCAAACACAAAAACTCATTGAGTTCTATTGGCAAAAGAAAGCCTATTTTTTTTCATGAGTTTGACACCCTTGAAGGTAGAGCATGTGTTTTTTTCTGGCATATTCATGACTATTTTTTGACTTCTATACAAATCATAATCAAGTCACATCTAATTTCACTCCACAGGAAGGCTTGCCACTAACGCAGCACTACAATTTTTCTAATTTAGGCTGTACTTTTGGTCATAAATTCAACTGTCCAGTATGATTCATACATAATCTCTAGGTAATCTCTTATCATATATAAAGTTTATACCTTTATGTTGTAGATCACTGATAAAAATAGTCTTCCTTGATGAATTGTGTAGCTACTTGATAGAGCTAGACATTGGACTAAAATAAGATTTATCCCTGATCCTAGGCAGGTGAAGAGAATCATACTTTTATGGATATCCTGTAGAGTCTATGAGGTTTCTGGTGGAGTTCTAGAAAGCTCTCTATGGCAAAGCCAGCTGACCCTGAGGGGGTCATTCTCCCACTGACTGTTGCATGGTGTCTGTCTGTTTCAACTCACAGTGCAGACAAGAGAGAGAATTTATAGATCTGCAGTGAACAACCTGTTCCTGGAGAATGGAATGAATATCTTCCTCTACATGTACCATTGTTCATTTCTTTCTTTGCTTTGTCATTTTATTTCCTTTCTGGTTCCCCAATGCCTAACAGTATCTGACAACTAGTAGACAAGTTAATCTTTGTGAATAAGTAATAAACATTCTTTAAAAACATTCAAATTGAAAATGTAGCAAAAGCCTCTGAGGTTGAATTTGACCTTCAACTGCTTCCTATTACTAAGCCTTAAGTAGCTGACAATCATTATTGTTGACTACCTATAATGACTGGGGTGTGCTATGAGCAGGTCAAGGTATTGGAGCCTTTGGGCGAGGAGGGGTTGATGTAAGCATATTTCTCCTAGAAACAAGTTGTAACTGAGTTGACCTGATAATGGGGGGAAGGAAGGAAAGAGAGGCCTGCTGTCAAACAGGTTTTGTGTTTGACTTTGTTACCTCTATATCCTGGGAAACCTAAGCGAAGAAAATGACTTAAATTGGTCCTGAGTTAGTAATACCCAAAGACCTTACTCCACAAAAAATACACACACACACACACACACACACATGTATATATATTCATTAGAAAAAGGATTCTATCACAGGCTTCACTGAACTCACAGAGTATGAGTCAAAAATGAACTCATATTCCAAAATTATAAATCATGAACAAACAGGTTCCAAATCAAAAGTCAGTAAAAAAAAAAAAAGAAAATTTATAAAAATGCCACAAGGAATTTAGAAGTTGATGTTATCATTATCCCCTTGAGAAATAAAATTATAGTGAGAAGGTTAACCCCTTTGAAAGAGAAAGTATATTTAAGGAACAAGTAACTATTCTGTGTTTAGATTGGTTTAACAATGAGCTAAAATTTCTAGAAATAGATATTGCTCAATATGTATTAAATATAAAATCTCCATACATGGAGGTAAGCATGGTGAAATGTGCCTCTAGTCCTGGCCTCTAGTCAAGAAACTGAGGCAAGGGGAAGAAAAGTTCAAGGGCAGCCAATGTTACAGAAATTCAGACAGACTAGGTTGCATGGAAAATTCTCTCAAGGAAACAAAAATACCTGAATAAAGGATTAAACTGCCTGACAGATATTACTAAGTAAACTAAAGCTTGAGCTAAGCAATTGTCTCAAAACTCAACACAAAAACAAAAAGTAGGGACTACATATATATATATATATATATATGTATGTATGTATATAGAGAGAGAATAGAATAATATATATATATATATATATATATATGGGCAATAGAATAAAATTCTAGTATTTTTTCAAAAATCAAGAAAGTAGAAAATGGGGGAAATGAATTATTAAAGATTTAAGTAAGGCTAGGTATAATGCTGTAATCCCAGCTCCTATAGGAATGAAGAGTAGGATTGCAGTTCAAGACAAGTCCAAACAAAAAGTTACAAAGCCCCTTTCTCAACGAACAAGCCAGATATGATGGTCCACAGCTGTAATCCCAGCTGCAAGAGAGGCATGGGTAGGAGAATCATGATCCAAAGCTGCCCCCCCCAAAAAAAATCCCTCCCTGAAAATAAATAAAGCAGAAAACAGTCTGTAAGCCTGGCTATAATGACAGAATACTTGCCCAGCCAGTGGAAAGCCTTTAGTTCATACTCCAGTACCTACCTCCTCCCTCAAAAATGAAGCATTTGAGAATGAATTAAAAAAGGTATATATTTTCATATTCAGAACATGAAGCAAATCAAAGTTATGATAAATAATAAAGGAAATACCTGCCTAGACACATTGTAGTAATTTTTTAATAAAAGAGCTGAGATAAATTACCTATGAAGGATGCCAATTAAATCAACTTAGTGACAGTAATATTAGAAATAAAGGATGGAATGTTGTCTTCAAAGGGTTGAGAAAAGTATCTGCTTCTAATTCAGTATATAGTTTAACATTCATTCAGACAAGCAGAGGCAAGCATGACCTAACAACAGCAGCTATGTGTAAATCTTCATGCAAGAAACTCTCAGTGCCAGGTGCCGGTGGCTCACATCTGTAATCCTAGCTACTCAGGAGGCTGAGATCTGAGCGTCGCAGTTCAATGCCAGCCCAGGCAGGAAAGTCTGTGAGACTCTTATCTCCAAGGAACCACCAGAAAACTGGAAGTGGTGCTATGGCTCAAGTGGTGGAGTGCTAGCCTTGAGCTAAAGAGCTCAGAGACAGCACCCAGGACCAGAGCTCAAGGCCTACAACTAACCAAAAAGAAAGAAAAAAAGAAAAAGAAACTCTCAGTAAGTGACACTAGCAAGGTGCTAGGAGCAGATGCTTTAAGCCACTTTTCCCAAATTATCAAATTATCAAACTATCAAATTAACCAGAAAAGAAATGCAAATGCCTTTTTGATAAATGTATAAATGAGAGCTCCTCCCTATTAGATAGCATTGTGAGGTTAAGGTTAAGAGTTTGATGGCCCCTAGAATGGCTACCATTCCTTGTAACTGCAGTTCCCACAAAACACCAGGGAAGGGACAGAGCTGCTTCCCAGGATTGTAGAGGCTGTGCCCCACCCAGTCAGCAAGCCTCCATCCTGAGAGGAGCATGAGAATGTGCCCTTGGCGAACCTGCATGAAGGTTCTGCATGAACTACCACACTTGGGATGGAAAGCATCCTGGAAACAATGCCCAGCCAATTCTGTTGAGCTCTGTTGAGCAAAGCCTAGAACATAACCTGACTCTCCACAGAAGCAGCTGAGCCGCCCAGAAAACCCAGCCTTTGGCGATTATGAAATGAACAGCTCACATTTCTGGGTGGTTTGAACTGTGCCCTTAGGAGGGCACCGAACTGGATGATGACAACCGTCAGAGCAATGAGCAATTGCGCCCGTCCTGGAAATTCTGACCATCTATCAGCCAGGACCCAATGGACTTACTCCCCTGCTCCCATTTGGCAAGAATAACCAAGCTACACAAAAGCACCAGAGCTGGAAGAGAACCCAGAAGACCAATTGTCCTGTGCAATATTTTTAAAATAACGTAGCAGCAGAAGGGACCAAGCATGGATGAAATTTACTGATAATATCACCAACAGCGATCATCACCACTCTATCACCTGTGTGTTCCAGATTCCTACTAGACACATTACTGAGCCTCAAGGATGGTAGTAACTTGTCCAAGGGAGCCTAGCCCTAGTGTTACTGAGTCAATGCTAGAACTCAGAGCTCAAATTCCAAAGCCCCTCTACACTGTGGTAAGAACGTTTCCATCTACTAGTCCTTATAGTAGTTATTGTCCATTAAGGTGGTAGTCTCCTCTTCACCTTTAAATATCTGTTACTACTGTCATGCACTCTGAGTTGAAAGTGGTTTGTCTCCCAGAGATCATTTTCTAAAGGCTTTGGTTGCCCGGTTCTATGATAATAAGAGGCAGAGAAAGAGATCCTCGAGGGACCTGTGGCTAGATCCCCAGAGATACTGTCCTCAGCAAAGACTAACACTACCTCACAAAGTGTGCTCGTTCTTGCATGACTGGGTTGTCCTCGAGCAAGGACAGCCCTGAGCTTGTCCTCCTTCGGCATGCGGCAAGCTCTCCTTCCCCTTATCGACAAAGGTACGTGCAACGTACTGTACTAGAAACTGAACACAGAAGACCATCCAAGCATGGATGTGCAGTCTCCAACACGTTAAGCTGAAGAGCCTCTTCCTTTTATAAAGTACCCAGACAACAGTGTGTTTGTATAGCAACAAAAAGTGGGCTAGTCCATTCAGCAACTTTATGTGGCCACTTGAGTGTTATTGCTTATTCGTAAGTGTTACTTGATAAGTTGATCGTGACTTATAATATTGGTAAGTTGGTCACAGGTATCAATAAGTCAATGTGTTACTCTTTTGTGACTTTGCCTGTCCTTTGTCTCAATAAACCAACCTTAAAAGCAAACATACAAAAAGGTTGTAAAATATATATTCCCACCTCTTTGTCTTCAGTCATTGCCATAAGGCTTTCTGTGTCTTTTTCAGAGTAAAACACCTGGTAGAGAGAAAATATGGCAGATCAGAGAAGGGCAAACATCACAGAGCCTATCAGGGGAAAGGGTGAGTGGACTAGACATCTCAGAGCTAGCTCTCTCCTTTCAAAGTCCCCAGAGGATGTGAGTTGCCCATGCATCTCCTCCCTGGAGCTGTCTCTGTGTTCATCTTTGATGTGTGCTTTACACTGAGCTGCTCCTCCCAGTCCTTTTTGTCTTTCATGTCCTGACTTTAATTAGGAGAGTCGTGGCTTTGAACAAGGCCACTACTCACTCAGCGCCGACTCAAAGGCGTCCCAAGCATCAAGGGGCATGTGTGATGATGTTTGGGGAAAGGAATGAGACACTCCTGAAGGCACTGCATGTCTCGCGGTCTGTTTCCTGGTGTATGGGGCGAGATGAGCATCTTTTCCAGGGAATGTGGGACACGTCAGCGCCCGCCCAGAACCCAGACCCTGCACGCAAAGCCAGGGAGGCGGCGCCCACCTTCTGTAACTGGGAGGCGGTGGCTCCCTGGGTCCCTAAGAGAATCATGCCAATGGCGGTTGAGATGCCCAGTGGGGAAAAGAAGATGTTGCCGTCTTGTATTTCCTTGAGCTCTTTGAAAAGAGCGAAGCCGAATTGAGCGGAGGCTGCACTGAAAGGAGCCATGACGACTTGGAGCAGACCTGGAACCGCAACAATAGCAAGTTAACACTGAAGATTTGGGGTCCATTTCTCTGAGTCTCAGGATCTCTCCTCCCTGGGTCCAGAAAAAGGTGATGACGCCCCCAGTGCAAGATTCCTGTGTCCGCCTCGGCCCCCTCCTCAAGGGGGATGAAGTCCCCTGGCTTCCCTAGGGAGCAGGGTTAATTCCTTAATGGTTTTCTCTCTCCTGTTCTCTGTCTGAACACGCCGACCTCGTGGAGATAAGTTTCCCACACGCAACCCTGCATTCTACTGAGATCTGGCTTGGCAGCTGCTCGGCCTGTGAGAACGTGGAGTTGGGAAGCCCTCTCCCCCCACCCCCCCCAACCCCCCCACCCCCGCTAGCCCCAAGTCTAAGCAGTGTCCCCAATCCAGGCTAACAATAAGAAAGCGCTCACACCTTTATCTGATGCTTCCTGTTTATCAGATGACCCAAAATCCAAGCCAGAAGGTGGCAGCCCAGACTCATTCTCTTAAGCCCCAACCATTCACCCCTTGAAAACGTGACTCTGGGCTGAATTTTTCCCTAAAAAGCAAGGGATTATTAATGCAACTAGGCATAGGTCATTAAAGAATGTACAAGGATTTGCTCTTGGTATTTTTCTGGGTTGTTCTGGTTTTACTTGTGACCTAACAGATTTTCTCTCTCTCTCTCTCAAACACAAAAATAAACAAATTATAAGAGCAGCTCATATTACCAAAATAACAACATGAGCATGCTGTTTGGTTTCTTCACTACCTGCTTTGTAACTATTTAATAAAAGCTTTTTAAAAGACTCCTGAAGGAAAAATTAAAATGAGTGCAGAATAAAGTTATTGAAAACCCATGTACTCTGGATGCCTTTGAGGTTAATCCCCTAAGGAAACCCACACTGCACCCAGCTTCCATTTCCAGTCAGTTCCCTTACAGAGACTCTTGGAAGGTTTAATCACAAACAAATCAACTTTCAGTCAAATAAAACAAAGAAGATCCAGCACCATGGCCTTGTAAGTATTGAGTTAAATAAAGCCACCTCAAAGAATGTCTACGCACAATAAAAATATTTATTTCAAATCAACACACATGCTGTGCTCACAATACAAAAGTCTTAAGCTGGAGAGAAAAAACTTACCCAGCTCTTGGAGACACAAAGGCTGCTGAACAAGGACCTATGCAAAATGAGTTTCTGAAGTCCTTAATTTATAGCTCTAGCTCTCTCTCCCTGCCTCTCCCTAGTCATTACAGTTTGTATTTCCAGTGAAACAACCTTTGGTTTCTCAATGATAAGTTCCCTAATAAAAATGGCATGCAAACTTTATGTCAAAACTGAGGGCTTCATTCTTTATATATTCCTTATAGCTATAAATCATATACTTGAAGTTGTCAACAAGTGTATTTTAATTACAGCTCAAATAAGTATGCACTTCGGCAGAGGGGAAACAAGTTGGAATTCCAACATCTCCAAAAAGCAATGAGAAATGCTTTTTTGGAACCTGACCATTTAAGACACCCAAATTAACCAATATAAAGACTAGAAGTAGAAGCACAAAATAAGACTATGGAAGGAATTAAAATGATGAAGTGACAAAGTATAATGAATTATGACCAGTCAGAGGGGCTGGGGCATGAGAGTACCTTCCTTCATCTCCAATGATATTGAGAATCATTCAGGGGAAAAATCCTGTTTAAGGACTCTAAACATTCACAGTGAGACCAAAGAAATGATATTCTTAGGAGAGGATCACAAGGGCTTAATAGCTATGTGCTTATGATCATATAAAATTATACTCATCAAAATGGAACTCCATTTCTTATGGAAAAGTAGCATTTTTATTTTACTTTTTGTTTAGTTGAGTTTGTTTCTGTTTTTCCCCTTTTGTCCCTGTTTTTCATTTCTGTATCTTTTGTCTTGTACTTAAGCTTATCTGATTTGAAGAGGGGAAGGGGAAGCACAGAAATGAGGGAACAAAGGGAACTCATTCAACAGTGATAGTCACTAGACACTACATTAAAAATGAACTGTGCAACTTGTGGGGGAGTGGCATTGGGAGGGAAAAACCTGGCAGAAAACAAAGAAAGAAGTGACTCTGTTCAAAAAGAAATGTACTCAATACCTGACTTATGTTACTGTAACCCCTCTGCACATCACCTTGACAATATTTTTGGGGGGGGGGTCTGCTCATGGGGCCTGAACTCTGGGCCTGGGCGCTGTCCCTCAGCTCTTCAGCTCAAGGCTAGCGCTCTACCTCTTGAGCCACAGCGCCACTTCCGGCTTTTTTCTTTTTGCTTATGTGGTGCTGAGGAATCAAACCCAGGGCCTCAGGCATGCAAGGCAAGCGGTCTACCACTGAGCCACCTTCCCAGCCCCTTTACAATATTTTTTAAATCCTTTCTAGAGCAATGATTTTGCATCTTGAAAGCACATTAGAGGGAAATGATTTTTTAAAAAAACTTAGTCCCAACTCCTACTCCAGGCAAAGAGAGTCAGCATCTATGGACTAAGGACCAGATATCAGATATCTTTCCCTGAGAGACACAAGGTGTGCAGTTGGGGTGGGAACCACAGGCTTTTACAGACAGATGAAGACATCAGAGAAATGCAAACTTTACCACCACTGTGCTGTGGTAGTGCTGTGACCTGACAAGCCACATTTGGTAATAAATTGTATTGGGCAGTCTATTACATTGTGGTTCCAAAGCAAATAACAAAATTTAAAATAAAAGAACTGACCTTACTAGAAAATATAACTAGAAAAGGGATTGGTCATGCTGCTTCACCAACAGCATACACACACACACACACACACACACACACACATACACACACACACACACATATCCATATGCACATAATAGACAACACAAACCCACTCTTTCTTTTAAAAAAAAAAAAATCTGTCTAAACCAGCCTCGGTGACTCATGCCTGTAATCCTAGCTACTCAGAAGGCTGAGATCTGAGGATCTCAGTTCAAAGCCAGCCTGGGCAGGAAAGTCCCTGAGACTCTCATTTCCAATAAACCACCAGAAAATCAGAAGTAGCACTGTGGCTTTGGCTCAAGTGGTAGAATGCTAGCCTTGAGCTAGCTCCCAAGGACAGCTCCCAGCCCCAGAGTTCAAGCCCCAGGACCAAAGCAAAAACAAACAAACAAACAAACAAACAAACAAAAAAAGTCTATTTTTGTTGGTTCGTATGGCTTAAAAACACTCTTGTTCTCAAGTATTTTGTCCATTAACTGAGAAATCTCTCACTTTACTTCATTCAATAAACACTGTAGAGTCTATCAGACACTGTGCCAAGGACCATTAATTTCTAAACACCCAACAACCTCCCTGATGTCAGGCAAATGACACTACCAAAGGGGCAATAAATACTTAATAGGACATTATACCTCCAAAATCCAGTTTTTCCTGCCAACCCTCCAACCATTCCTCCTGCCTCTACTAGTTCATCAAAGAAAGTGGACTAGTCTCAGCTTCAGCCTTCAACAAGGGTGTGGAGACGAGTCACTGTTGCTACGCAGCAACTCCATGAAGGGCTCCCCTCTACTCCAGCATATCCGCCTTCCACTCACAGCCTTGGCTCCCGTATGCACCTGTCTGCACACTTGCAATTTGATTTATAGATTTTTAAAAAATATTTATTTTTACTACAGCTCTTTAAGAAAATTCAAAGGAATATTTAATTACCATCATTCGTATTTTTTAATGTCACTGGAATATATGCAGAAAAGGTAAAAAGCTATGTACATACGACCATATAAGATGATGTTAAGCGAAATCAATCCCAAGACAGGGACACAAGTGGTTTTATCTTTCTTGCTGTTGTTTTTAATGTACTTATAATGTACTGTGCGATTTTTTTGTTTCTTTTGTATGTTCTTCCCCCATGGTATAACCCCCTGTTTTCACTGTATTTGAGTCCAGTGTCCTGCATCTTGTATATACATTTTTCTAATTTGGGGAGGGGAAGGGAAATAACAAAATGGATACAGGTTGACCCACTGTAACAATGAGATGTACAAGACACTATATTGAAAAGGAACTTCACAACTTCATGGTGGAGGGAGGAGTTGGGGAGGTGGGGAGGGAAGGGATGGTAGGGGAAAAATAAAGGAGGAGGTAGCAATGCTCGATAGGAAATGTACTCATTACCTTATTCATGTACCTGTACAATCTTTACAATAAAAAACATATAAAAACATATACAAAAAAGAAATGGATGTGCTAGTTTTTTTTTTAAGATGCAATACCCTTCGGCGGACACCGATGTTCCTTGTTTCAACATCCCTTCCAGTGTATGTTCTCTATGTTTTTCTCTGTACACCCCCCGCCCGCCACCCCCCCCCCCCCCCACCGCCCGCCTCTGTCCCATTTCAGAGCTGTTCCTCTGGCCTTGGCGTTCTTAAGTCTACCCTGGGCCCCGCTGCTCTTAGGAGAGAGACTGCCCCCTCCCCTACGGTACATCCCACGCGTTTTCACTGGGAACAGCAGCTCATGTGTTGTGGTCAGGACGCAGAGTCCCACCCCTATTCCTTCTCCTCCTCTCACATCTTCCAAAATACTCTCCCTTCAACCAGCACTCCCTCTGGAGTCTCCCCTTGAGCCACTCTGACCCTTCCCAACCTTCCAAGGCCCAGCCGGGGCTCTGCACCGGGCCTCGCTGCCCAGTGCGGTTCACACCATCACCATCGACATGCACCAGCTCCCCAGCCGCTCCCTCTGCTCACGGGCGGGCTGCGCTCATGACCAGGAGGCTCCTGCTGCACACCCGGAGTCACTGGTAGACGTCCTGCTTGGATTCTTACCTTCCCTAAACTCATTTCTGCGTCTTCACAGCTCCCTGTCATTAGGCTTTTCCTAGCCCACTAGCTCAGCAGTCTCTACTTTTTTCTTATTTCAAAACTGTCACAGTAGAAGACAATTATAGTAAGGACAATAGTCCCTGTGCTGATGTGGGAAGGAAGGCAAATACTCACCCCAAGG